ACCCTGTGTGACTAAGCTCCTTGCTTTTCTGGGCATAAGACTAGACCCTAAACTTAAAGTTTTCATGTGTTTAGTGCGTCATCAACCTATATTTTTCTCTCATCCCCAAGATACCAGTTCATCTTCTTCATCCTTTCCTCCATTCTCCTCTTCTGCTCTTTCTCCACTCCACCTCTCTTCTCTCTTCTCTGTTTCAACTCCACCCTTTTCTCTACTCCTCTACCCTACCTCCATCCTCATACATCCGTTTTCCTCTCTCTTCCGCGCCCATTCTCCTGCCTCATTTTCACTCACCCAAACTTCATTTTCATCCATCCTCTCTCATCCATCTAAACTCTATCTCCGTCCTTCTTCCTCTGCCCCCTCATTCCACTCACTCTTCTCCTCTATATCGTCTCCACTCCCCCCCTTCCCTCTGCCCCTTCCTCTTCTGTTCCACTTCCACCTCCGCTCTCCTCCTTTTTCATATTAATCTCCATCTCCACCTTCTCCTTTTCCATATTCATCTACATCTTCACCTTCCTTGTCGGTATATCTCTTAAAGGTCATCTCCTTCCACAATTGCCATCGTTCCTATAGTTAAAGTTAGCATCTAAGCTTTGCACTTATTTACACTTAAAATCTAGTTAGGGATTAACAAATATATATATTAACTATATGAATTAGATATTAAGTTTAATAGATAAATGTTAACTATATAACTTAGGTGTATATTTAGCATCTATTCCTTAAGGTTATTATGTGGCTTGAATCATTAACATGTAAAGTTTAAAATTAGCATCTATTCTATAGAAGTAACATGTATCATCAAAGATTAACTATGTAAATTATTAGCATCTTCCCTCAAAAGTTAACGTGTATCATCTACGATTAAAATGCGCATTTCTAAAATTAATTTTAAAAACCTTAGACGTTAACTTTAAATATTAATAGTTAACTTTGGCATAACTTTAGGAAATGAATGTTTCAGCAAAAAAAACAGCTTTTGAGAAATAGAATGACGGATGTGGAAGGAGAAAGAAGAGATGGAGATGGAGATGGGGAAGGAGAAGAGACGAGGGTGAAAGTGGATGAAAGAGGATGGAGAGAGGAGATTGGAGGAAACTGGAGTTGATATAGAGGAGAGAGGAAGGTGAGTGGAAGTAAGGGCAAAGAAGGAGGGACGAGGATGAGTTGAGATGAAGGAGAAAGCAAGAAGGATAATGACGCTCGGTGAAAAGAAGACGAGGATGGAGGATGAGCATAGGAGAGAGCAGGGTGGATGTGGGAGGGCGGAAATGGGATAGAGGAGAGAGAGGATGGTAGAGGCAAGAAAGAAAAGAGTGGAGCGAGGGGGGGAAGGGCCACCGAGGGGGGCGGGGGGGTGGAAGGAGAGGAATAAAAAAGATGGAGGAGATTTTGGGATGAGAGAAAAATATGGGTTAAAGATGCTTAAACACATAAAAACTTTAATTTCGGGGTCTAGTCACTGACACAGAAAAATGAGGGGTTTAGCCACATTTGCTTATTAAATTTGGAGCATAAACACATTTTTCCTTTCTATTATATATAAAAGTACAGAAGAGTTGAACTAATTCTCTCTAATATCTCTAAGTTTCTCAGTTAACATATATAAATAGTGGTACATCTGTACAACAAGATACACAAGAAAAATACAACAATCATTCTACAAATTCTCTGCTCTTCTTGTGCGATTCATTCATGGTATTGAAGCCAAAATTCTAATGGGATTCTTTGCCTACATTCTCCTTTTCTCTCTCAATGTCATTATTTACGTCTTCAATTTCCTCTTAATCTTCACTTAAGTCTTCTATTCTCTCCACAATTTCTTCTTCTATATTTTCTTCTCTAACATTAATATTCCGCTCCATGGTAATAATAATCTTATTGGAAAATAAGGTTTGTCTTATTGGAAAATAAGGTTTAAACAATTTTTCTATGCATATCAATTTGCTCGGTCATGTAGAAAGAAAGAGCACTTGCTGCAGTATAGTTTACCTTCCTCCAACTACAGGCAGAGGCTTCCAATCTAGCATAAAAACTGTCGATAGCTCATTGGTCCGTGATCAACTTCCATTAGGTTGGACTCTCAGACTTCCTGATGATGTCATTATTCCCCAGCTAACTGAAATTGATACTTCTCATGATGTCTGGACTTAAAGACTCTTGAGCACTATTGCTCGCAGTAAAATCGAGCCCAAGTGATGTCGTTGCGCACCCAAGTTCGCCAACTTACAAAAGGCTCTTTCTCTCTATGGAAAAATATCTCAGTCGTTCAAAGATGATTGTTGCTCACATAGCTAGTATTGGTCATCCTCTTTCTAGTGACGAGATTCTCTCTCATCTACTTATGGCCTTAGTCTGGGTTATGCGCAATTTCACATAGCACTTATTGCCTCCAACGACATAGACTATTAAGTCTCTTCATCGTGTGCTTTGACACGATATCTCCTTGATACTTGATCTTATGTTTTTGATAATCGACAACAACTCCAATGACGTTTCTCACTAACTTTCACCATTAAGCTGCATCAACATCTTTCGGATCTCGACCACATGCACCAATGATGCCAAATGGTAGACAATTTTCTCAGTCATCACAACTCTACTTTGAAAATAAAAACAATCGTGTAAATCGAGGGAACAAATGTCAAGTTTGGAATCAATTTGGTCAATCTGCTCTTGTCTGCCTAATCAATACAATACAATAAAATACACAATAACATACAATAATCATTCTACTAATTCTCTTATCTTCTTGCTATTATTTCACCAGTTGTTCAGGGTCTCTAGCGGCTAATTGTTCTCAATATTGTCATTTAGTTGCCCGCTTATTGTGCTTAACCATAACAAAGCAAACTCTTTATTAGTTAGTCAATATTCAAAGTCAGTTTAAGCAAGACCTTAACCAACCCCATTCTCACGCTTCTTAGGGTTCATCATTATCTTAAGTCCTCTTCATGGCAAGAGTTTTTTTTCTTCAAGTAGTTTGTTAAAAACTTATTGTGATTTTGACTGGATTGTGTGTCATATGACAAGGAGATCAAATCACTGGATCATGTGTCATATGACAAGGAGATCGACCACTAGCTATTCAACCATGTTGAGATATTCTCCAATATAATCAAAGAAGCAAACCACTATTCAAGATCGCTCTATCAAAGAAGAGTATTGAGCCATGTCCAAAACCACTAGCAAATTACTTTGACCGACTCATCTTGTTCACCTTCAAGTTCCTCATCCACAACTCATGATGTTGTATTGTGACAACTAGGCTATGTCAAATATTGCTGCAAATCAAGTATTTCATGAATGAACCAAACGCATTGAATTTGGTTGTTGCTTCATTTGTGAACGCATAGGGTCCAAGGCACTTTCATTTAGGCACTTTCAATTTGTGAAATAATCAAGTTTTTTATGTTGATACTCTATGTTGGGCATGACAAATCATCATGCTTCAACTTGTGGGGAAAGAGGGGAAGGATAGCGTAATTTGAGAAGATTAATTACAGGATTCACAATAATTCTAGGAACGGAAGTATTGAGAGCGATTGGAGGATTGATTCTAGGCTAAAGAGTATACTTGTGTGGGCTAAAGAATTGCACAAGTGGTTTGTACTATATATGGTTGTCCTAACCCTTTGTTCTTTGATTATCGGATCTTGATTTATTTCCCAATCAAG